AAAAATGAAAGCGTTTTATATTTATCCACCTTGACCACCCCCAGCACTTCATTTTTTTGTGTGTAAATTCAAATTTCCTTCCGTCTAAAAATACCTCTAGTAGAGTGAAAGTTTGCTCCTATGAATGCTCTACACCTCTGCTTGTCTGAACAAAGTCCTTATTATTTTGCCTTCATGTTTGAAGTATTTTCGCTTGGGTATACCTAGTTGGAGGCTGACAGTTTCTTGTTTTCATACGTTACCATGTCTTAACACGCGGACCCGGGCTGGAGCCTTTGGAAAGTCTCTGACCGGAGAAGCAGAGAGTCGCCTCTGGGACTGCAGGGCGGCGGGACAGCCCGAGCGCCTCCCCCCAACTCCGCCAAACCAAGGCCTCATTTCAAGACTTTTAGCAGGTAGGAAAGCCCCCTCCGCAACGACCCCGGGACCCCGGGACGGTTCAGAGCGAGGCCGAGGGAGGTGGGGAGACGCGGCAGCGAGGCTCCTGGAGTCCCAGCCCTCAGCCTTCGCGCTCGCTCGTTAAGCCTCGCACTAGCGCACCCTCCCGGCCTGCGGCCGACCCCGGCCCACCTGCCAGGCAAGTGCGCGGTCCCCGAAGCCCCGCGTGGCGCGTGCGTGCAGCAGGGCCGGGGTGGGGGGCGGCGGAGCGAAGGGGGAGGTGGGCACACTGCCCCGCCCCCAACACCGCCCGAAGTCCCTCCTTAAAGCGGCGATGGCTCGCGCTGGTTAGTGCCTCGCGCCCACGGCCGAGTGCGACGCCTGGGCCACCAGATTCTGCCGCCGCCGCTGTGTCCCGGCCGTTGTCGCCGCCGCGGGCCGCCTCCGGGGCCCCGGCTCGGCCCGCCACCGTGCTGGGCGCCATGAAGATGGGGCGCCGCATGGACGCGTCCGCCAGCGCCGCGGCCGTGCGTGCCTTCCTGGAGCGCGGCCACACGGAGCTGGACACGGCCTTCGTGTACAGCGACGGCCGGTCCTAGAGCATCCTGGGCGGCCTGGGCCTCGGGCTGGGCGGCGGCGACTGCAGAGGTAGCCGCTCCCTCCCCGTGCACCGCGCGGCGCCCACCCGGCCAGCCCCAGCCGTGACCCGGCCGCGGTCAGGACCGACGGCTTCGGGCCCTCCCGGGCGCTGACCGCGCTTTGGACCACCCCCCTGCTCCTCAGGCACAGTGCACGTGTCTCCCCGGACAGCCGGACAGTGCTTTGTCCTGACCTTCCTTTCCTCTCCTTTTCGCTTCCGAGAAGGTCTCCCAGGACCTTCCCTCCAGCAACGTCACACCCCAGGTCCAGTCTGGAACGACTTGGTTAGGTCTTCTAGGGGGCCCTGAAAGCTTTGGGATCTGGCCCCGTGCCGCCCCTACCTCCTTTCCCGCACCCCGGCAGGTGCCCCGTGCAGGCCTGATCTGCTGGAACTCTGCCCGTACTGCCCTGGCGTTCCCTGGCACAGCCGCGGATCAGACTTTGGAACCTGTGGGGGATCTGCTTCCTTCTTGCTCTGGGCCCTAGACTTTGCTCCGTGGGGCTCCGGGTGCCACGCTCAGTGGCAGCGCCTGAGAGCCGCAGGGTGCTCGGTGGGCGGGGATGGGAGGATGCGGGTGGTAGGGTGTCTAACTGCCTTCTGGGCTAGCCTCTGAGGACCTAGAAGGGAAATTGACACGAACCCACTCCAGGGAGCTCGGATTCTAGAGAAGGCTGGGGAAGCCTGGAAGAGGCAGCACTTCTGGAGGGGCCACTGAAGAAAGCTCAGAAGAGGGAGCTTTAGACACTGAAGAACCAATTAGTTGGCCAGGAGGACAGGTGTTAGTGCTGTGGGTGTGGGCAGTGGGTGTGCCAAGGCAATAAGATTTGGCAATGCCAGGGGTGTTAGAGCAGGCAGAGCTAAGTGGAGGGTTGCGTAAGGGCAGGGGACCGTCCATCACCAGTCCGATGCCATTTGAACAGCTTCAGCAGTGCCTGGCAGGTCCCTAGAGTTCAGCAATGTTGGCTGTTACGGTTAGGAGTAGTAATAGTAATGTTGTTAGCACAAGGCACCGTCTCTCCCTTGGGCTCTTCTCTCTCCTCTGCTAGAGTCTTGCTTGGGTTCTCCTGTGAGCCACAGCACGCTCGATCAGGAGCAGTAAGACAATGTCCCTGCGTCTCAGTGCTTGCCCTTTCTAGATCACCTGGCTGCTTCTCTGACCACTCTAGGTCTTCTCAGCGTCTTTTTTCTCCAAACCCTCCTTCGCTTCCCTCCTGGTCAGAGCTAGCTGGGCCAAAGTCCTTAAACCTCAGATCCAAAGTTTAACTCACATGAAGAAGAGCTGGAGGAACGCAATAATTCCAAGTGAGCGGTCCTCCAGCCTGCTCGTAAGTCTCAAGTCAGGTGACTTGCCAGGCGCCGAGTGTTCAGGGAGGGCCAGATTCCACAGGGTGCTCCCAAGGCCCTTTATGTCGGGTCTGTGGCCCTTCTCTTGCCTTGTGTACCCCCTGACCCTGGTGCTCTGGATCCCTGGAATTGCAGTCATGACTCCCCTCACACCATGTTCTTTTCCTCTGGGTTTTCGCCCTTGTCCTCACTCTCTGGAATGAACTTCCCACCTTTCCTCAACTGGCAGCCTGTGACTTCCCCCTGGAGACCAAGATTCAGATTCTAAAGAAAACCTTCCCTGAGCTCACAGGGGCCTCCTGCTTCTATGCCCTGGGCTCCCCCAGCACCTGGTGTATATCCCTGCCTTGCTTATGGTAATGCAGCCCCTTAGACAGTAAGTTCTCGAGGGCGGGGATCACCTGTTGGGTCTACCAGCCCTTAGGGCCTGGTAAATAATCCGTCATACTGATGACATTGGTGATGATGACAATGAACAACACGTCCATTCAAGTTCTGATCAATCCCTGGGACCAGCACACAAAATAGTACCATCGATGCTATCAATTTATAGTTGAGAGGATTAAGGCTCAGAGAGGTTGAGTAACTTTGGTCAAGGTCACAGAGGTGGTAATGGCAGATCTGGAATGTGAACCCAGGTCTTTCTCTGAATCATTATTCTAGACTCTCTCCAGTGTTTGGTAAACTGGCCTGAACTCTCATTTCACTCCTCCCCCAAAGCAAAAATCGCCACCAAGGCCAATCCATGGGGTGAGAATTCACTGAAGCCTGACAGTGTCCGGGCCCAGCTGGAAACATCCCTGAAACGGCTGCAGTGCCCCTGGGTGGACCTCTTTTACCTGCACCTACCTGACCACGACACCCCCGTGGAGGAGACGCTGCGTGCCTGCCACCAGCTGCACCAGGAGGTGAGGCGGGCCCCCGAGCTCCAGGAGAGTGGAGGCACCAGGGTCGTCCCAGAGCAGAGCCGGGGACAGACCTCACTCCCAGGGTCCCCACCCCCATCTCCCCTTTGCAGTGTCCTGGGCCGCAGTGGGTTCTGACAGAGGCCTCTCCCCTGCAGGGTAAGTTCGTGGAGCTTGGCCTCTCCAACTATGCCACCTGGGAGGTGGCCGAGATCTGCACCCTCTGCAGGAGGAACGGCTGGTTCCTGCCCACTGTGTACCAGGTGAGGGCCAGGGCTGTGGGGGCCCCGGCTGATCGCCAGTTCTCTCGGCCCCTCCCACTGCCTCCTCTCCATCGCAGCCACTGCCCCGCTGACAGCCTGTGTCATAGAGAGGATGCGCAAGCTCGTCAGCTTGGCCAGCAGGCACCTGCTCGCTCTGGCCCTGGCTCCCCTTCCTACCTGCACGTGCTCCGTGGGCCCTTCCTTCCTGCTCCCTGGCTGTGGGTGTGAGCCTGGACCGTTCTTCCCCTTCACCCGGGTAGAAGTGCTCAGGCCTCATTTAGATGGCTCGTCCCCTGGAAGCCTTTCCCGATGCCCCAGAGGAGCCTGAGATCTCAGGCTCTACTTTGCTCCTCCTCATTCATTCAGCAAATGTTTGTCCTCCTACTTGGTGCCAGACACTGCTCACAGAACTTACTGGTGGACTAGGATCGCTTGTTTTCTCGATTATACCTGTTGACGCTCTACCTTGCTATTAAATCTCCCAGGGCAGGGGCCTTGTCCTCTTGGTGTGTGGATGGAACTTCCATGTCCAGCCCATAGCCGGTGCTCAGAAATGTTGGCTGAATGAAGTTTCCTTCCCACTAAAAATATGCTCTGATTGTTAAGGTCCTAGGATTGTTAGGGTCTGAACCGAGGGCTCTGCAAGGGAAGACTTGGGGCCCCTTCCTTTGATATGTGCACACCCTGCAGCCGGCCCTTCTTCCCGCAGGGCCTGTACAACGCTACCACCCGGCAGGTGGAAACGGAACTCTTCCCCTGCCTCAGGCACTTCGGATTAAGGTTCTACGCCTACAACCCTTTAGCTGGTACGGGCTGCTCTGGGGCGGGGGGCAGGCTCCCCCTGGGGTGGGAGGCCATTCCTGGCCCCGTCTCTGCCTCTTCCTGACCCAGTAGATGCCTGGCCCAGGCCCTGGGAAGCGGGAAGGGGCTTGAAAATAGACTCCGCCATGTCTTCCCTCCCTCCTGGGTCCCCCCCACCAGTCCAGAACAGCCTCTGGGAGCAGGGTGGGCCTGGCTCTGATGGCAGTCTTCCCGCAGGGGGCCTGCTGACGGGCAAGTACAAGTTTGAGGACAAGGACGGGAAACAGCCTGTGGGCCGCTTCTTCGGGAATAACTGGGCTGAGACCTACAGGAATCGGTGAGCGGGGGATGGGCTGCGTCAGGGCAAGAGGTGGTATAGGTCCTCCTAGTCTGAAATAGGGGGTCTCTGGGGCTGCTTTCTGGGCGCCAGCACCTCCTCCTGGTCTCAGACTTAGGTCCCTGGAATCTCCAGGGCTTTACCAACATCCACACCCCGGATATTCTGTGTCTCTGGAGAGGGCTTAGGGGCCTGGATTGGGAATGTGGATCCCTGTGCCTTCTCAAAGCTTCACAGCTCTTTCCTGGGAAGAGCTCACCCTCTGTGCACAGTGGGGGCGGGGGAGGGGGGTACCCTTGGATCAGGACTCTGGAAGGCTGGCCCTTCTCCTCAGGCAAAGGAATCTAAACTTTGTAAACTCTTGGCAGTAATATTTTCTCAATGTCTACAGTTATAGTTACACAGCTGTTGGAATCAGCCTCTTCCCTTACTTTTCCACTTTCTAAAATTTGGAAATGCTATGAAAGGAATACAGGCCCATGGCTCAAAGCAACCCGTTGCCAAGTTGCACTCTTCAGAGGTGATGATTTAAACTCATGGCTCTTTCCCTCTGGCCTCTCCTGCGACCTCCCCCAAAGTGCACTTCATTGCTATTCCTTCATTTATCCACTTTATTTATTTTTTAAAGATTTTATTTATTTATTTGACAGAGAAAGACACAGCGAGGGTGCCTGGGTGGCTCAGTCGTTAAGCATCTGCCTTCGGCTCAGGTCATGATCCCAGGACCCTGGGATCATGACCTGAGCCGAAGGCAGATGCTTAACGACTGAGCCACCCAGGCACCCCTATCCACTCTATTTTTTAAAAAGTTTTATTTAAGTAATCCCACCCAACGTGGAGCTCGAACTCACAACCCCAAGATCCAGTTGCATGCTCTTCCAGCTGAGTCAGCCAGGCGCCCCTCCTTTATCAAATTTAGATGTCCTCCATGGACTACTGGCAAGCTCCTAATCTTTCTGTGTTTATAGAAGCCAAGTCCACGGTTAATTTCTGTGTGTAATTTATTTGCCTTTTTGCCCCCACCCTGGGAGGAGGGCAAGAAGGAAGTTTTGTGCAAGTCTCCGATGTTAGTCTTGTTGAAATGGCCAAGGACTTTTAAAGCAGGGGAGTGTCTATGGAGCGTCTAATATTTGGGATCACCTCGTGTGCACTGCTGTGATTTCAGTTCTAATCCAGCCCCCCCCCTTGCCCACCCCCAGTTTCTGATCTTCCTGGCCAGGTGTCCAGGTTTAGGAGCCAATGCCCCAAACAGTGTTCTCAAGATTTCTCACCGCCAGGGCCTGGGCTTCACCCTGCAGAACTGAGGCCTGATGGTTTTGAGCTTGACCGTTCTTCATGGTTTACAAGGCATGCACCATCAGGTACATTATCTCCTTTACATGTGGCACTGGCTATAAAGGGCTGGCCTGGGGCATTTGCTCTCCTCACGGAGCAGGTAAGAGAAGTGGAGGCAGGTGGCTTTAGCCAGGATTTGTCATGGGTACAGCAACAGGAGGCACGCTAGTGCGGTGTTGTGGCTGCTCCTGGGTCCCGATCTGGGGCTTGTGTTGTTCACATCTAGTGAGCATAAATGCAAGCATCCCTGCCCACTGCGTCCCCTCACCCCCCCTCACCGGACTGTAAAATGCCCAGGTAAGGGGCCCGAAACCCACCTGCATTCTCAGAGGACACCAGCCCCTTAGGGCCTCAGGGACCGGGGTGGGACATCTGCCCTGGAGTGACCTCATGGCACTGCCTGCGGTGCCACCCTTCCCACCTGCCCAGCTTCTGGAAGGAGCGCCACTTCGAGGCCATTGCCCTGGTGGAGAAGGCCCTGCGGGCTGTGTATGGCGGCAGCGTCCCCAGCTGCAGCGGAGCTGGCCGTCCCGGGGGGGCTGCTTTTTTCCATGGTGGGGTGAGGGCGAACGTGGAAGAAGGGACAGGGCTGCACAGTTACTTGATAGTTTCTGAGATGATTCCTTTCCTTCTGGTGTTTCTCCATGCGAATTTTCTTTGGGAAGTTTCATTAAGTGCCCCGTCATGAACTCCACGGGCCCTATTAAGTGTGATCATTCCAACTTCACAGATGAGGAAGTGATGTCAGAGGCGCTTAAGGCCCCACAGCTACATGTGACAGGGCACGAGCATCCAGTGGACTCTGAAACTTCCATTTCTAACCATTAGCCTTTGTTCCGCCCCAGGCCGCACACTTGCAGAGTCGGGCCCTGTGCCTGGTGGGGTCGCCCTCTCTGCTGTCCCAGGCTGCGCTCACACCTTCCGCTGGCTTCAGCACGATCTACTGAGGGCTCCCCTTTCCTGAGCTGTTCAGGGCCAGGCCTGACACAAATACTTCAGAAAATTTTAATTCCTGCAAAATAAACGAAGTTTGAAGTTTGGGGCTGTCAAGTGACTACCCCGGGTTTACCCAGCTGTGGAGGGGCACAGGGGAGTGGCTCTGACTTCACGTCTGCCTGCTGGGGAGTCTGTAGGGGCTGGCCTTTCAAGCTGTTTGCAGGCTGTGTAAACTCCTGAAGAACGTAGGCTCTAAGTAGACATCAGAGCCCGGGTCTCAGCAGAGGCAGGACAGGGAGGGAGGGTGTGCGCCTGGAGCCAACACGGTGCATAATGTGTTCATATCTGGCTGTCACCCCTTGCGGGGTGCCCACAGGGACGCGGTCATCCTGGGCATGTCCTGTGCGGAGCAGCTGACACAGAACTTGACGGCGACCGAGGAAGGGCCCCTGGAGCCGGCCGTGGTGCAGGACTTCGATCGAGCCTGGCACCTGGTCGCCCACGAGTGTCCCAACTTCTGCTAGGGCCAGTCCTGGCTTGAGGTGGCAGAGGGCCTCCTCTATCACTTCTTTTGACACTCTCACCTTGGGCCTTAAATGGCTTTATTTGGCCTGTTCTTTCTCCACAGTGTCTGCTCACGAGCTGTTTATTTCCTCCATTCCCGCAATGCTCCCAGCTGCCTTCACGAGAGAAGGCTGTGCTGTGACCCACTCAGGCGTGTCCTGCTTGGACAGAGCAGGCGCTACACCCGGCTGCCCAGCCGCTCTGCTGCCTGTCCTTCCCAAGGGCTTATGGGGAGGGGGCAGGAGTGCAGGCTTCCCAGCCTCCCATCCGGAATCCAGCCCGACCTCCGGATAGGGCAGCTGGAGGTGGCCCTCTCTCTGCTACACACAAGAGAAAGGGCCGTATGCCCTGAAGGTTTACCTACCATTAGAGTCACTCCCAAGAATAAAAGTTCCCAGGATGCTGTGGAACAGTTTTCTTATCTGCTCTGGGTTTCAGCAGTGGCTTTAGTCTTGTCTTAGTAAAGGATCCTGTAAGACCCCCGGCCCTGGCTTGGGCAGGGGATAGGACTGGTGGGGGGAGGAGGGAGAGAAAGAAAGGGGTAGGAAGGGTGGCCAGGCTTCCTTTATTCCTTGGCAAACCCCCATTTCAAGGAGGCACAAAAGGGCCAGAGGAGAGAAGCCCCGGCTCTGGGGGTGGCTCTCACGTCCCCAGACATCATGCGGGAGCCAGTGCTGGAAGCTGGCTCCAGATAAACAAAAGGCACCCAGAGAATCCAAATAAAAGTCCAAAGCCAAGGCCTTTTTTCTAGGAAAAGTCCTCTTTGCCGTCCACAGGAGCCACCTTGCAGACAGTTTTATTCCTTATAGAAAAGCAGTCCATCCCTCTCGCCCTCCCTGCTGTTCAGCGAGCGAGGTGGTGGTCCCACAGTCCGTCCCCAGTATCTGTCAGCCGTCATCTTCCCCCTCTGATTCTTCTGCTGACTCGGATGCGCTCTCGGGCAAGTCATCTCCCATCTGCTGGAACCTTCCAGACTGTGCATCCCACATGTATTTGATGGTGACCTTGAATTCAGCCATCTCATACCCGAAAAGCTTCTGCAAGGGACGCATAAAGGGAATCAATGGTTAGGAGGAGCAAGGGTTGGGATGCCTGGGTGGCTCAGCTGGTTAGGCAGCTGCCTTTGGCTCAGGTCATGATCCCAGCATCCTGGGACTGAGTCCCACATTGGGCTCCTTGCTCAGTGGGGAGCCTGCTTCTCCCTCTGCCTGCCACTCCCCAGGCTTGTGCTCACTCGTTCTGACAAATAAATAAAATATTAAAAAAAAAAAAAAAGAAGAGGAGCAAGGGTGACACGAACCGGCCAGGGGCCCTAGTGCTACAGCCCGCTGACCGTGGCCAGGGTGGGGTGGGGTGGGGGGACAGACAGACTCACCAGCACGCGGGCCTGCTCTGGGGTCAGCACGTCGCCCTCCTTACACACCTCGTGGTCGGACAGCAGGGTCACCACACCTACAGAGAACGGAACCCCGCACAGTGACCTTGGCACAGAGGCCCACGCACAGCTCTCTGCCCGCTGCCCAGAGCTGAGGGAGCCGGGTGGCCCCCCCGCCCTCCCCAGCACACTCAGGCTTAACCCGAAAGTGCTCAGCTGCCCAGGAGGGTCTGTGGGGGGAGCACGGCCTCCCTCACGTCTCTCAGCGGCTGTGTTCTGGCTGTGAGTTAGTACCCACTCTTGCCCCGACCAAGAGGTGGTCACTCGGTCCCATTTTCACCTGAGGAAATGGAGACTGGCAGAAATGAGCTGCTCAGCCACAGAGGCCAAAGGAGGTCTGTCAGGTTTGGGAAACTGTGTTTCCGGCAGCTAAGCTGTGACCTTTCAGCTCCAGGGGTTTCCCCATACCTCTCTTGAGGGCAGTGGGCAGGCCCAGCTGCCTCAGCTGTGGCTCCATGGAGTGGGGGAACTGCTCCAGGGGCCCGGGGTCCAGGGTCACAGTGAAAGTTGCTTTGTTTCCGGCTCGAGCGAAGTCCATTTCCGTGTATTTCGTAAACCACCTCAGGAAAAGACAAGTGGGGGGGCGGTTCCTGAATGGCCCACCAGTGGGGCATGAAGTCAGGCTCCCCTGGCCTCCCCTCCCCTCCCACGTTTGCGGCAGACCGCTTGGAGCACGATGCTGCCCAGAACGAGGACTCAGGAGCAGTGTTCCAGGAACCAGTTTTTACTTGGTATCTCCGTACTGTACAAAGTACCCGGATTATTCCTTCCCTGTTAGTCCTCAAAAACACTTACTCATTCACTTCCTCCTTGGTGCGGTTGGTGAAAAGGAGACCGACCTCACCCCTCAACTTCTTGCTGACCTACAGAACAAAAGTGGGGTTGGCCCAGTCCCATTAGACATCTGGCAATATCTGCAGATGTTTTTGGTTGACACAGCTGGGCGGGGGGCACTACTCTGGGTCTGCGGGTTAAAGGAGAACCGAGCTTTAAGCCACGCCTTGGTCTCCCTGATCCCTCCACTGGCCAGAAGGCCAGAAACTCACCTGATGCAGGTTGTCTTTGTACTCATCAGCTGGGCTTCGACCCAAGGCCACCATCATCACCTTGTTTTTGCCAAAGAACATCCTAGAGAGAAAAAGGGGTCTGTGAAGGAAGGGCCCCCTCCACCGTCCCCCAGTTAAGGTGTAAACCTGCTCCAGTCCCCAGGAGCCCGAACTCAGGCCCAGGCTGCTGGGCCGCAGGAGGCTTGGCCAGAGGCTCCTACTTCTTCCATGCAGCCCTGTCGGCTCTCTGTCCACAGCCAAGGACCCCCTTCATTTTTTTCCTGCCTACAGACCTCAAACATCCACAGTATTTTGTCTACTGGCCCACTGTGGGTGTTATGTGATCCCCTAGACCCCCCAATCTGGAGGTATGGAAGAGGCACATTCACTGGTCTTAGGCAGACCAGAGTCATCACTCGTACCATCACAGATCCAGCCCAAGGACAGGTATCCGCCATGTGGCTCACGCAGCCTGCTCTCGGGTCACCGTGTGCATCTTTGAGTACACACCAACATTCTAAAACTGATGGGATGTTCCTAAAAGGACCAGATCCCAGGAGTTAAGGGAGCCCTTTCTCCTGAGGGATTACTGCTCAAACATTCCCTGACCAACTACCCAGTCCTGCCCAAGGAGCTCAATGCAAGACCAGTTGTAACAGTTAAAAAGTGCCTCTGGAGAATGTGAAGCTTTGTCCTCAGTAAGGTGGTATCTGTGTGACCCAGATACCCAAGGGTCAATAACTGGCCCTGTGCTTTGAGAGCATCCTGGCTTCTCTACTCAGGAAGGCCTTCTTACCGGCTGTGCTTCCAGGCGTTCCGGATGTCCTTCAGCTTGCTGTTCCTCATGTTGGCCACGGAGAAGATGAAAAGGTACTTGTATGTATCCACACATTTCCGAAGCTGTGGGACAATTCAATGGGGTTCTGGAGTTCAAGGGGCAGCATGGGTTGGGCCTCAGATGGGGAAGAATCTGGTCTAGGTCCCTAACAACCATGGAAGTTTAGAGCTGGAGGCGTCTAGTTGTTTCCTCCTTATTTCTGTTACTGAAGCCAAGATCATGGACTACAGGGGCTCCCCTGAGGCAAAGTAGGTGTGATCTCAAAGTGCAGGTAAGCTGAGATCCCATGGTCTTCCAGGTTTCTGACTTATCTGTGCCCGAGTGGAATGGATTGCTTTGCTCTGCCCATTAACTGACAACCCAGAAACACTTAGCTATGCTTGGAAGGCTCCTGCTAAATGGAAAATATAAAGTCTCATTCTTTACTCACAAGGGAAGGTGGCTCATCGGCCCTGCTCTGCCTACATTGCTGGTTGCAGCCATGATGACGTGGTCTCAAGGAAAAGGAATAATTGTGCTGGAGGAGACTCTCCTCTCACCCAGCCTGTGGCCTGCAGCAGTGTAGACAGTAGGCTGGCGCATTTACTAACATCTGATAACCCCATAGATTTTTTTTTTTTTTTTAAGTTACTTTATGTGGGACTTGAACTCATGACCCTGAGACCAAGAGTCGCATGCTCTACCAACTGAGCCAGCCAGGCGCCCCGTGTAACTCCACAGCTTTTTGACATCGGGCAGGCTACCAAATCTCTCTAAGCTTCCGTTACCTAGCTGCAAAACAGCACTAACTCCTCCCAGGTACGCTGTAAAGATGGAGTGGAACAGCACACGGAGTACTTAGTGGGGTGCAAAGCGCAGAGTAAGAGCTCGGTCAAAGCTGGAAATCATTACTATGGGAGTTTTTATTGGTGCTGCTGCTGGAGGAAAAAGGACAGAACCAGCACCTCATGGTGTTTTTCTCTTCCCTTTTTTTTATTTTTTAAAACGATGTTTCCCTGCCAGCCCTCTAGCCACCTTTATAAACCAAATACAAGGTCTGGAACAATAAAAAGAATGAGCTCTTACCTCTTCTATCAGGTTCTGTTTCAGTTCTAAGCCTTTCTTGGCAGTTTTGGTTAAGGAAACTAATACAAAGAAAGAGAAAGGTGATGAGAGACAAATCCAGAGGCCCTGCAGACTCATTTCCATCTCCCCTTTAGCAGCTCAGCTGGACCAAAAGCCAGGGTGAGGAAAGGCAAGGCTTTGTGTTCCCAGGGTCCTCAGAGTGCCTACTCTAGTGTTCCTGAGCCTGGACATCCCCTGACATATCTATTACTTAGACAAGCCAGATGTGCCTGCATCCCTCTTAGTTCAGCTAAACTAAGAATCTGTACTGCAGTGTGGGGGCAGGGCTTGCTCCTGTTATTGGAGTGCTTTCAGTGGCTGGCTCAGGCGGGTCCCTTTCTGCTCTCTGCCATGGTGCACAGAGAAAATCTTTGGTGGCCTCTGCTGGGGAACGATGAATCTGGGGACTTTATCTCCTCTGCTTCATCTTGTTCTGCAGTTTGGACTCATGGATAAAGCCACCTCTCTGGGGAGGGCAAGCACGTCTGCCCAAGAGCTGGGGCTCAATTTCCTCTTATCCAGAAGGGTATGGCATTTGCCAGATCTCACCAGGGCTCCCTCTACAGAACCCAATCATTCCACAAACACTTAACAGAGCATCACATGCAAAGCTGAGGGTACCCCCAGTAATGGGGCAATTTTTATTCATCCTGCCTGGCATATACGTGGAACAATAATCTCACTGGTCAGGGTAAGGGCAACACAGGAGGGGAAACACAATGCCCTTGTCCATTTCCCACCACTTCCACTGCTACAACTGTGGACCAAGCCAGTGCTACCCTCTCTTGGATTACTGCTGGCCTTGCTCCTTCCAACTTTGCCTTCTCTCCCCACTTTTCCCAGCCTATTATCAATAAGGCAACTAGGGTGATCTTTTTTTAAGCTTTTTTAGAGAGGGATAGGTGGGGGGAGGAGCAGATGGAAAGGGAGAGAGAATCTTTTTAAGATTTTATTTATTTATTTGACAGAGAGAGGGAACACAAGCAGGGGGAGTGGGAGAGGGAGAAGCAGGCTACCCACCGAGCAAGGAGCCCAATGTGGGGCTCAATCCCAGGACCCTGGGACCATGACCTGAGCCGAAGGCAGACGCTTAACAACTAAGCCACCCAGGCACCTCTGGGAGAGAGAATCTTAAGCAGGCTCCACCCCCAGCACAGAACCTGAAGTGGGGCTCGATCCCACCACTCTGAGATCATGACCTGAGCCAAAACCAAGAGTCTGACGCTCAACCGACTGAGCCGTCAAGGTGCCCCTAGGGTGATCTTTTAAAATTTAAATCATGTCGGGGTCCCTGGGGGGCTCAGTCAGTTAAGTGTCTGACTTTGGCTCAGGTCATGATCTCAGGGTCCTGGGACTGAGCCCTGTGTTGGGCTCCCTGCTCAGCATAGAGTCTGCTTGTCCCTCTCCCTCTGCTCCTCCCCCCCGCTTGTGCTCCGTCTCTCAAATAAATAAAATCTTAAAAAAAAAAAAAAAAGTAAACCATATCATCCATCTCTGCTCAAGCTCTTGGATGGCTACCCACTGCACCTGGGTGTGAAAGCCAATTCCTTGGGAAAGTTTATAAAGCCCAACCTACTCCCTCTTCTTCGTGTACTCTGCTCCAGCCACACTGGCCTCTTGTCCCAGAACACGTCAAACGTGCTCTCAATACAGTCCCTTTGCACTTTATCTTCCCTGTCCTTGGAACACTATGCTCTGGGGTAACTCCATGGATGGCTCATTTCCTTTCTTTAGGTTTCTGCTTATTTGTCAGCTCATCAGAGACCTTCTCTGGTTGCGCTAAACGAAATAACATCACTTCTTTATCTCACTTATAGTCCGTGAGACTCATCACGATCTGACCTGATTCGACTTTTGGTGTTTTGGGGAGGATTTATTTCCTATGACTAAAACTTTAAGCTCAATGAGGATTCTAGGCTTTCCTTACTGTAACTGCTGTATCCGCCCAACGCCTAGAGTGCCAGGCCCCTAAGTATCTTGTTTCAGCCTGGGTGAAAAAGACTACCACATAGTAGTCAGGAATGGTCTCTCAGGAGGTGCCTTATGAACTGACAACTGAGACAGACCAAACCACACGAAGATCTAAGCATAAACATGCCACGCAGAAGCAACTGCAAACAAAAGGGCCAGAGCCGGGACTAAACCTTCCTAAAGGAAAGGCGGCCAGGGTGGTGGGAGTGCAAAGAGCTAAGGGAGAGTGGCTGAAGTGGGAAAGGTGGGCCAAGGCGAGATCGGGCGTAGCCCGGGTGCTCAAAAGCTGTTTTCCGGCCTAGTAAGCCTTGGAAAGGCACCCGAGGACCGGCAGTGTCCGCTCCCCTGACCCGACCAGGCTCCAACCCCCTCCGGTGCCCCAGCGGCCACGAAGCCCTGTCGCAGTTTCCAGAGAACCGCGGAGTTCCTCGCGGACGCCCCGACATCCCACTCGGTGCCCCTCAAGCCCCCACCGCAGCCGGCACCATGCCGGCGGAGCTGCCCATCGGGTCTCGAAGCCCCCTCGCTCACCTTTCTTGTCGCGCTTGGATTTGGGCATCGCGCTGCAGGCACATGCGGCGGAAGGCGGTGCTGCCTGCTAGGACCCCGGCGGCGCGGGGGCCTATGGGACGTCCCTCAGGGACTGCCCCCGCGCGTGCCTGACCCAATCCGCGCCGCAGCCCGCCTGTCCCCGCCCGGCTGTCTCCGGGGCGACTTCCCGCGCGCCCGGGGGCCTCCGAGCCCTGAGCGCCTCGGCGAGGGCTTCGCGGGAGGTCCCAACTCTATGGTCTGCGGAGGCGGAGCCTGCGGTCGGGTGCCTGAAGGGCCGGCGGCGGGCGGGCGCAGGTTCCCATCATGGCGGCGGCGGCGGCTCTCCCGCTCTGGCTCTGGGCTGCACTGCTTGTCCTTGCGGCCGCGGTTTACGAAGACCAAGTGGGCAAATTTGATTGGTACGTGCGTGTGGGGCCTGTTGGGGAAATGAATGGCTATTTTGTCAGTACCAGCCTTGTGCCTGCTACAAGGAGGACGGGGTTACAGGCAGCAGGACTGGCTGCAGAACTTGTGGGGCCCAGTGCAAAATGAAAATGTGGGACCCCCCCGTTCAAAAGTTAAAGAGGTTGAAGATGGCCACAGCAGAGCATTAAACGGAGCGTCAGGGGCGCTTCTAAGCCAGTCTCTGTGTGACAGGTTGCAGGTTCGTGAAACGGGCCCTGACATTCAAGCGTGCTTGGGGTTCTGGTCAGAGGTCACCGTTCCTTCCTCCCCGTCAGGCCCTGTTTCTGTGACTGTCAGGTTCCTGATCTACTGGGTGTCGAGGGTCGACAGCCCCTCAGTGAACTCTCATTCTTCCTCGAATTGGCATCTCTTGGGTATGTGAACAGGGGCTTGGGTCTTACTACGAATCCTAAGCCGAGTGCCCTTTCTCCTCTCTTTCAGCCCAACCCGGTCCTGGGCTCCGACCGGGGCCAGCAAGTCTCACACAGCCGGAGGTGCCATTCATAAAGATGCCATTTACTCATTCACTTAGTTTTCCCTCCCTCCCGCCCCCTTCCTTAAGGCCCAGCATTTAAGAGGTGTACTTTTGTTGGAGACTAAATTTTGGAACTTAAGGGTTGTGTGACTTGAGAAAGTGACTTATCCGCTCTGTGCCAAGGTTTCTTTATCTGTAAAATGGGCTTATTCATAGTTCATTATTACCTACAGTAGTTGTAAGGATGAATGAGATCATTCTTTTAAGTTAGCACAATGCCTGGCTCATTGAGTGCAATTAGTGTTACCCATTGTTATTTCTATTCAGAGAACAGTTTATTCTTCAGAGCCCAGCTCACATACCTCCTCCTCTGTGAAGTCTTTTCTGTATCAGATACATTGATTCCTGTATTTGTTGCTTGCCTGTAATACGCCAACAATTGTTCTAGGTGCTGTGGATAGAGAGATAAGAAGGAGCTCAGTCTGGTGGGGCAGTCGTATATGTATGTGATGTAAGGCAGTGGGATAAATGCAACATAAGTCATATTTTTAATGATGTGGGCAAATGCTCACAATGTAACGTGCATATTACACATATATAGCCTATATGCTAATGTTGTATGATTCCAACTTAAAGGAATACTAGGTATATATAATTTACAAATAGAAAAATAAACAGAAGGGCGCCTGGGTGGCTCAGTTGGTTAAGCGACTGCCTTCGGCTCAGGTCATGATCCTGGAGTCCCGGGATCGAGTCCCACATCGGGCTCCCTCTGACCCTCTTCCCTCTCGTGCTCTCTATCATTCTCTCTCTCTCAAATAAATAAATAAAATCTTTTAAAAAAAAAAGAAAAATAAACAGAAGGAAATATCCTGAAACATTAAAAAGTTTATGGTGGTGGCATTTAGGCATTTTAAATTTTTAAAAATACATTTATATATTTTTCACATTTTCTACAATGAGCAGACATTAATTCTTTTTTTTTTTTTTTTTTTAAGAGAAAGAGCGTGAGCGGGGAAGGGGCAAAGGGAGAGGAAGAGAGAGAGAGAGAGTCCTAAGCAGGCTCCATGCTCAATGATACATACAGGGCTTGATCTCACGACCCTGAGATCGTGACCTGAGCCGAAATCAAGAGTGGGATGCTTAATTGAGGCACCTAAGCGCCCTTAGCAGGCATTACTTTTACAGTCCAGATAAAAGATTAACAATATTTTAAAAGAGAGCGTGGGAATTAGAGTCAGAAGGTCTTAGTCTTGTGTTTTATTTCTGACTGTAATTACTTGACCCCAGCAGACCTTAATTTACTTATCTGTAGAATGAGAGTAATAATTTTTCCTTGTAAAATGAAGTAATAACGCTTGTCCTATGCATTTCATAGAGTGTTAAATGGATATAGCGAGAATTAAGTATGTGAAAATACAGATAGAAATTGTCAAACGTCCTCTAAGCCTGTGTCTCTACTCTCTGCTTAGTTTCTTTCCTTTTTTTAAATCAGACCAAACAACATCACAAGAGAAATTTCATATAGATGCCACGTGTGTTTAGTTTGCCAGAGATGAGAGTACTTTTTCCTTAATAGCAGTGTGCAGGCAACTCCTGTGTACTTGGTAGTGTGCCATTCGAGGCTAATTATATTCCCTTTATGCTTAGAGAAGCGTGTTGAAAGTGATGGGATATATTCCAAGGAAAGTATGAGTAATGAGTCAAGTGGATCCTGAACGTGGAGTGGGCTTGAAAAGGCTGTAGAAAACAGAAGCTTGACCCAATCTGTTTCTGTAGAAACAGAAACCCAACCCAGTTTCAGTGAAAAATTTGCATGATTTTTTTTTCTCCAGGGGTCAGTGAAAATAGAAGGGCAAGTTGGATGGTATGCTTGTGGACAATAGGCTTTGTGTCTCTTCCCTCGTGTAATAGTCCCACTATTAATGAACACAGAGAGGACAAATGTTTGTTCCAGTAGGATTTAGGCCAGGTGTTCTTTTGGGTGGCACTTGAGATAATACGTGCTTGCATTTAGAAGTAAGGTTTGTGGGGGTGCCTGGGTGGCTCCGCTGGTTAAGCATCTGCCTTCGGCTCAGGTCATGATCCCAGGGTCCTGGGATTGAGCCCTGCGTTGGGCTCTGCATTCAGCACGGAGTCTGCTTGTCCCTCTCCTTCTCCCCCTCCCCCTGCTCACTCTCTCTGTCTTTCTTTCTCTCTCTCTCTCAAATAAATAAATAAATAAAATCTTTAAAAAAAAAAAAAGAAGTAAGACTTGTGCTGCTTATCTCTTAGGGTGTATTCTCTCTTCTTGTTCCCCTGGCTTCTGACTCCGTTGCATAGACATCTTGCTTTTGGTCAGATCTCATTAGCGGACATCCCTCACATGTCCTAAGATAGGTCTTTTCCCACGCCATTTTGTGCAGGGATGATTTTGGCCCCTCACATTTCCCTGTCCTCTTCCTTAGGAGACAGCAGTATGTTGGGAAGCTCAAGTTTGCCTCCTTGGAATTTTCCCCTGGATCCAAGAAGTTGGTTGTGGCCACAGAGAAGAATGTGATTGCAGCATTAAATTCTCGGACTGGGGAGATATGTGAGTGGCCTGCGTAGGCCGGTTAGCTTGGGGTGGAATGGCTGACCATAGTGAGTCCAGAATGGCCCATGGCTTGTGTAGTCTTCCTGGCTGCTTCCCAAGTAAGGGACGTGTTGGCCAAAAGATGCATCTCTTACCGGATTCTGATACTTGTTTTTCAGTTGTGTTGTTTTTGAACAACTGTTTTCCTATAACTGGCCTTTTTAGTTTAGCCCCTCAGCCTGAGTCCTAAGAGTTCTTAAGATATTATTTCAAAATATTTTTCTATTTCTCTTTTTTCCTCTGCAGTAAAGATTTGGATGCCCCCCTTAAATTACTTATGCTGCTTTTATGGATGTTTTTAGGCACGAAATTATGGAAATATAATTTACGATCACTATTTTTCTTGTGATTCATAGAGATTCTGTTAGTTTTGTCTCATTTATAAGTTTGGGGTGGTAGAGGGTATGGGAAGTGAGGAGACTTCAGACTGGGACAGGAGTGGCTCCTCTCAAACATTCCTCCCCTCATTACCCAGTGAGTATGAAGGGATCATTGCCAGTTAGGTGTAATCCTTCTCTCCCTCGAAATAAAATGAGATACCGCAGTGCAAAGGCCTCTTTGGTTCTCTCCTACCTGTCTTTTTGGATGCCTCGCTCCAGTTTATAGTAACGTCTGACTCATGTCTCTCAGTGTGGCGCCATGTTGACAAGGGCACGACAGAAGGGGCTGTGGATGCCATGCTGCTCTACGGACAAGGTAAGCACAGTCCTGCTTGGTCTCTTGTTGTGACGTTGGCTCCATCTCCCCAGTGCTCGGTTCCTTCCTTTGTACCAGGTCTGTAGGGAAAGCAGAAGGGGTGTTCCCAAAAGAAAAGGACAAGTATTGCAAATAACTTCTATTCGCATCCATACCTCAGATGTACAGCCATTGCTCCCAGACCATCAGAGGAGGCCACAGAGCACCAGTTGGGGAGGTGACTTCACCGTGGTCTTTTCTCTTCCAGATGCAATCACTGTGTCCAATGGAGGCCGGATCATGCGTTCCTGGGAGACTAACATTGGGGGCCTGAACTGGGAGATTACCTTGGACAGTGGCAGGTAGAGGGCAAGAAGCTGTATTTCATCCAGACTTGGCTCGAGGCTTTGCTAGAACACAGGTCTGCGTGGACAGCAATTCAGGATCTTGAGTTTTTTTGTTTTTTTTAAAGACTTTATTTATTTATTTGAGACAGAATGAGAGACAGAGAGCATGAGAGGGAGGAGGGTCAGAGGGAGAAGCAGACTCCCCACTGAGCAGGGAGCCTGACGTGGGACTCGATCCCAGGACTCCAGGATCATGACCTGAGCCGAAGGCAGTCGCTTAAGCAACTGAGCCACCCAGGCGCCCCCCTTTTTTTTTAATTTTTAAAAAAATTTTTAAAAGATTTTATTCATTTATTTGAGAGAGAGAATGAGAGACAGCATGAGAGGGAGGAGGGTCAGAGGGAGAAGCAGACTCCCAGCAATTCAGGATCTTTTGACATTTTTTTCGCATGGGCCACTGAAGAGCCAAAGAACATCAAACACCCCGTGTTTTGATGCTGAGGCCACGGAACACGTGGTTGCTCTTGCCAGTGTTTATTGAGCACCTATTAGGTGCAGAGCCCTGTGCTCGGTGCAGTATTTATCCTTGCCCTTGAATGCTGCACCTAATCGTACCGTGACGTGAGAACTGTGAATGTGCTAGGTATAGGAGTGTAATATAAACCTTTCAGCATTTTCATTTTATGTTGAGAGAACAGCTTGGGCTGCTGCTACGTTTTTGCTGGGGTTGTTTCAATTACAGGGTCGTTTGCAGTGGGGTACACCTCTTCTGATAGTAATTTATAACACTTGGCGCGCCCCCAGGCAGTGGGAACCCACATGTGACCGTGGGAAGGTTTCTGTCGTCAAGAAACACATGGTCAGCTGGGGGAGGCAGGCACGTAGGCTGTAATGACAGTACGGGGTGAAGGATGCCGTGGTGGAGGGACGGCCTGCCTGCTGGGAAGTCCTCGGGGAAGGAGGGGCTTCACGGGGCTTCAGGGAGACAGTAGAGTGGAGTGGTTGAAAGCGCAGCCTCCCAGGTCAGCTCACCAGAAGCAGAGCCAGTATGAGGATCCTGATGCGTTTGACCCCAAGGCCTGTTTTCTTACCTAGCAAGCTACAGTGGTGGTGTTCCAGATTGCTCTAGTCTGAGACCCTGGAGGTGCCGGGCAGTGCTTACCCCTGCACCTGTGCTCAGTTTCCAGGCACTTGGGCTGGTAGGCCTGCAGGAATCAGTGAGGTACATTGCGGTCCTGAAGAAGACCACTCTTGCCCTGCATCATCTCTCCAGTGGGCACCTCAAGTGGGTGGAACATCTCCCTGAAAGGTAAGGCCACCTTCCCACCGAGTGATGGCTTCCTTGTCCTGCTGTCCACAAGCTCCTATTTCTCCCTGAGGGTTGAAGTGTTTGTTCTGACTCAGGCTCTCCTTATGTTGGCATCGTGTGTTGGGCTCACTAGATGTAGGCCGGCACTCAAAGGCTGTGCTCCTGGCATTTCCTTTGCAGTGAGGAGAAAATTCTCAAACTGGGCACTAGAGACAGTCCAGCAAGGGAGATGGCTCCTTGCTTACGGTCATAGCACTCTGGGCTTTTTGACTTCTAGTTCAGGTCCGACTGAGCCTTCGTTTTTCTGTTACGAATCAGAACGACTCAAGAAGAGCCCAGGGTAGGGACTGAGGGAGGTTTGAGATGGTTTCCAGAAGTCCTAGTTGTGGAAAGCATTGAAGCTGGGAAGGATCAGGACAGAGGGAGGATAGGAAAAGATTTGCTCAGATCTGTGGCCATTTTCAGGGTGTAAAAGCTCAAATTCGAATGTGGCCAAGTGCATGGCACCCCTGAGCAAAGCAGGCCCAGTGGGGATTGCGGGCAGCTGCAGTGTGCCTGGCTTACCTCCAGGGGGCAGCCGTACTTAGCCAGTTGGCGCCCTATAGGTATGCCTAGCGGTGCCTCTCCTACTTTTTTTTTTTTTTTAAGATTTTATTTATATATTTGACAGAAAGAGACACAGAGAGGGAACACAGCAGGGGGGGTGGGAGAGGGAGAAGCAGGCTCCCCACTGAGCAGGGAGCCCGATACGGGGCTCGATCCCAGGACCCTGGGATCATGACCTGAGCCGAAGGCAGACGCTTAATGACTGAGCCACCCAGGCGCCCCGCCTCTCCTACTTTTTAAGGAGAGCTAGAAATCTGATTTTTACTTGTAAAGTCTCAGTTCTAAATGTTGATGACTATTAGAAAAAACAAAACAAAACTGGGAGCTAAACAAATCCTACTTGGGGACTGCTAGGTTGTGACTGGAGGACCCCCGAGGGTGGGCCTGTGGCTGAAGCTGTTGCTCCTCGCTTTTTCTTCCCTCTCTTAGTGACAGCATCCATTACCAGATGATGTATTCCTACGGGTCTGGGGTGGTGTGGGCCCTCGGAGTTGTTCCCTTCAGCCACGTGAACATCGTCAAGTTTAATGTGGAAGACGGAGAGATTGTTCAGCAGGTACGGCCAGGCGTCTGGCTTGAGGAGCCTTGCAGATTGTGGAGGGGAGTAGATGGAGCCCTTCTATGCCTCAGGGCCCAGGGAACTTGGCAGGTGCGAAAGCCATCCACGGTCCCTGATTCTGGTCACTTGGAAGCTGCTTTCTCCTCATGGAACATTTGTTTAAAGCCCTCACATTCATGCATGGTGCTCTCCTGGGGTGGCTGGAAAATTATGTAGGTTTTTTTCATTGCCTGCGAGTTTCTTAGGAGGTAATACTCTGAAATAGTGATAGGAAACCCCGTATGTCAAACACAGGAGAGAAACGGTTGTCTGCAGTATTGGGTCTTAAAAATGACCTGGTATATTTTTCCAGTGACCAGAAAGGAAACCCTGATTTTCCTCAGTTTTGGAGCTCTCAAGAAGTTGGGAGGGATGGGAAGAAGTCCTTTGGAACCAGCCATGAAGAACCTTTGAGCTTAGCCCCCGTGAGATTGGTGGGGACCTTGCTGATGAGCAGGGAGGAAGATGTAAACATTCTCACAAACCTCCTGCTACGATGTCTTTCCTGTAGGTCAGGGTGTCAACCCCCTGGCTTCAGAGTCTCACTGGAGCCTGTGGTGTGGTGGATGAGGCTGTCCTGGTGTGCCCTGACCCGAGCTCACGGTCCCTCCAGACCTTGGCCCTGGAGACGGAGTGGGAGTTGAGGCAGATCCCACTGCAGGTGAGAGGTAGTGTTGCTGCTCCCTGGCCCAAGGCCTTGCCTTTGTTGCTTAGAAAAGTCTCCCAATGACGCTGCTTCCTTCCTGAGCCTTGGCAGTTGTTGGGAGAAGGTTAGGCTTCTGGCTGAACTGGTGTAGGGGAAATGGGCCACTCTTCTCTTTAGGGAGCCTGGGTGGGGGCTTCTGGAGCCGCACGCCAAGGCCTAGTTACTTTCACTGGCAAAGTGGGGCTGAGGAAGGAGGCCTGGGACGGATCAGTGGATCAGTGACTTGCCTGAATGGAGCCCTAATCCTCTTTCTTCTTGCCCTTCAGTCTCTTGACTTAGAATTTGCAAGTGGATTCCAGCCCCGGGTCCTGCCCACACAGCCCAACCCAGTGGATCCTTCTCGGGCCCAGTTCTTCCTGCAGTTGTCCCCGAGCCACTATGCTCTGCTGCAGTACCATCACGGAGTCCTGAGTCTGCTCAAAACCTTCCCACAGGTAACCGCAGGCAGCATGGTGCTAGGATTCGGGAGGATCTAGCCAAGGCATGCTACTGGAAAGCCCTGCCTCTGAATCTGTAGGTGTTTGCTCTGGATCCAGACATCTCTCTGTGTTTGGTTTGAGATGGGTTCGCTTTAGAGCAGAAACGGAATACGTTTTCTTCTCAGAGTCACAGAGGATCTTTAGAGTAAAAGTGGCGCCTTCTCTGAGTCCACAGGAGGGTGGGGATGTTAATTCAAGCTTCCCTATGGATACTAAAAAACAGTGTGAGATTGAGGGCCAGCGTGTGCCTGTGTTGGAGGTAGGGGAAGGGCCTGTTTTCAGCTGTAGATGCCCCTTGGGCCTCCCTCTGTTCTCAGGTGCCCTGGCTGCTGTGCTTCCAAGTCAGGAGCACTTTCAGCTCCAAGGCCGAGGGACCTCCCTGTAGAGATGCTCCTCTGTGAGGCTGCTGGCTGGTATAGGCCCCATTTAGGAACTGACACTCTGCTTTATTCCCAGGCTGCCCTCGTGAGCTTTGCCACCACTGGGGAGAAGACAGTGGCTGCAGTTGTGACTTGTCGCAGTGAAATGGTGAGTATCGAGAGTAACAGCTAGCGCTTGGGGGTTCTCCTTCCTTATGTCTCCCAGGAGCCCTGAGAACTAAAAGTCGGGGCAGTTTGAACCCAGGGGGCAGGAAGCTGTTGAGAAGTAAGTTCTCACTTGCTCTCTAGCGCTTTCAGCATCAGCAGCCCCCTTGTCCCCAGGAGTGGGACCCTAATAGTACAGCCCAATTTTATCTGAGGCTAAGAGCTACATAGGCTCTGTGAGCAGGAGTGAGGGGTGACGTTTGTCTTCTCCCAGGTGCTAAGATGACACAGAAGGGAGGGCTTCATTTCGGTGACTGGGGGGTGACCCTGTGGGTTAAATGTTCTCTTCTTTCTCTTTTCCCTAGCAGAAGCCTAGCAGTTCTGAAGATGGGTCACTGGGGAGCTTTGCGGAGAAGCCCAGTGTTCAGGTACGGTGTGGCATTGGGCAGTGTGCTGGACCTGGGCCTCTGGGGAGGCTGGGAGTGGGTCTTCCGGAGTTCTCAGCCTCAGATGGGGTTTGCCGCTCGCCGTAAATCATGCTTGTCTGGATCCTTTGTAGTGTGGATGTCTGAAGTAGAATCCCTAGAACCTGTTCTTAACCACTTTTTCCTCCAGCTCTGTTGCCCCGTGTCTTCCGCGCCCCTGGCTCGTGTTGCTGAGCAGTGATCTGTGCGGTTGGGCTGGAGCGGAGCGTGGGCCCCTGGACGGCGCGCATCTGCTCTGTTTTCTGTGTCCTGAGCTCTTCTGAAGAGCTTTGTGATTTCCTTGCGGGGTCCTCCTTCTTTTGGGGAAGTCTGCTGCGCTGCACTGACTTCCTTCTGTAACAAGTATCGTGCTTGTTATTCTGTGTACTCACATACCTTGTTTCTGCCTTGGGATTTAGCTTTCTTTTTTCCTTTTATTTTCCTTCGTGTATATTTCCTCTCTTGGCCTGGTCCTTCTCTAGGGTAGTTAACCCCAATTCTTGGGCTTCCTTTGTGGGGCTTGGCTTTGGGGGATCTCTTTATTGAGCCCTGCTGTCGTACCCGTAGGACTCACTGACTTGCTTCAACCAGACCTACACCATTAATCTCTACTTAGTGGAGACAGGTCGGCGGCTGCTTGATACCACCATCACCTTCAGTCTGGAACAGAATGGCACTCGGCCAGAGCGGGTGAGTCGGAGCCTTTGTCTTCAGGCTCTGTCCTGGGGGCTTCTCAGCATGGGCCTCCCTTTCCTCACGGCCAGGCCTTGGGTCCTGGGTTAGGACTCTCTGGACATGGGCTCTAGTTCTTCCTGAGTAGCTGACTTGTTATAAGGCCCCGTGAATAGTAGTTGAAGCAGGTATCATTTATTCTAAGTGGTGAGTGTGCCAGGCACTGTGCTGAGCTCTTTGTTTACTCCCTGATTTAGCTCTCTCACCAGCCTTGGTAAGTGCTTATTACTGCCCTTGTTTTACAAATGAAACTGGGCCTTGTGAGATCCAGGACCCTGTCCAGAGTCACAAGGCTCATAAGACGTCACCGGTGCCCCAGCCTGCACTTTCGGTCGGCGCCTACGTGGCCACTGTGCACATTTAGGGTGTTCTTCGGCCTCTCTGGGCTGTGGCTTCTTCGTCTCCAAAATGGAAACTCTCACCTTGGCCTTCTGCTCGCTCTGTGGGGTGTGACTGGAGCACAAGGGATGACGCGGTGCCCGGGAAGCACTCAGGTTCCCCCTTGGAGAGGTCTGAGCTGCAGTCTCGCACCACTGCCCTGGCTCTAATGCATTCACGTTACCTTCTTGGGGTCTGGATAGTAAGCTGTGTTGCTTAGACGGCGAATCACCCTGTCATGGGCCTTTAACAACTCCTGATGCCTTGAATTTGGGGGTCCGGTGCTCAGAGGCATTCGGATTCCGGCTGACTGCGGTCGTTGGGACTCTGCTTACAGCTCTATATCCAGGTGTTCTTGAAGAAGGACGACTCGGTGGGCTACCGGGCCTTGGTGCAGACAGAGGATCACCTGCTCCTTTTCCTGCAGCAGCTGGGTGAGCAGACCTCATTCAGCCCATTTTTTTTTAGGCTGACCCAGATTTCTAGTCAGACTATATTTTTGGGGCCTTGGATTGGCTTCTGGGAGAGATTCCAGTGGAGTGTAGGCCTGAATACTTTTTAGAGCCATATGCCATCTGCTTTTGAACAATCCCTTAGCATTCTAGGGTGGGGTCTGCTTCTCTGCCTGACACGAGAGCTTCTGGAATCCCTGAGCCACAGAGAAGAGCCTTCAGGCGATGGGGGAGGCAGGCATGGCTTTCGTAACCAGGGTTTCTGTAGCAGGGAAGGTGGTGCTGTGGGGCCGGGAGGAGTCGTTGGCGGAGGTGGTGTGCCTGGAGATGGTGGATCTGCCCCTGACGGGTGCGCAGGCTGAGCTGGAAGGAGAATTCGGCAAGAAGGCAGGTATGCACAGAGGACACTGGGACGGCGCTGTGGCTGGGGCGCTGCTCTGGGAATGGGTCTGGTAGTTAGACCGCAAGGGGTGCTGGCTCACGTCATCCCCGGCTTCCCGGGCGCAGTCTTTTTGCCCATGTGCGTGCAACCAGCTCTGCGACCAGTTTCCAGTGCCTTCGTGGCCACGTGGTTTGGGTAACCATTCTTTTCTCTGAAAGGAGCCACTTCGGAACTCCTCTGTGGAAAGATCCTGAGGAAAAAGAGTCTTAACTTAGTGGTATAGCTACCACTGCCTCAGTACCCCAGATCTGCCAGGCAGATGTGTCACCCCTTGTTCCCCAGGCACCAGCCATGTCTTTCTGGAGAGGTGTGACTGGGTTGATGGGGTTGTGGTAACCGGCGGTGCCCTCTGGCGCCTGCCAGTCCCAAGCCCGAGGATGGAGTCGGTTCCCTCCACGCTGGTCATTCCCGCCTCCCGCCTCTTCCTCCCATCCCTTCACCTTGCTCTGTAGCCATATTTACTGAGGGCCTCCTCTGGGCCAGGCACCCCGGTAGGCATTGCGGGTTTTCTTGAGCCGAGGATTAATTTGACTTTACTGTTTATTTCTGCTGCCTGGATCCAGCAATTCAAGGTAAAATCTGCTTCCTGCTGCCTTGTTGTTCGTTGCTTGCCCACGTGGCTAGCTTTTGGTAAATTCTTTGTTTTTCCTGACCTGCATCAGTGAGGTACATAGTGTGTGTGCATGGACCGCTCTGCCTGTGATTTGTTCTGTTTGCCCTTCACTTCTCTTCCTTGAGCTGAGGTTGCTGGGGAGTAGGATACACAAAGGCACTACTTTTTAGTGAGCACTCACCGTGGACCCCGCATGGTGTGAAGTCCTGTGTGTAGGTCATGTTGTCTTCGGACTGCATGCGATTTTACACACGGGGACCCAGAGGCCAGAGGTTATGTACATTTCCGGGTCACCCAGCTAATAAGTAGTAGAGCTGGGATTTTAATCTAGGCTGCCAGACTCCAGACACCATGCTGTTTACTCATGCCGCCTTGTTCTGGTGGCCACATTGACCCTGTGGGGGAGACTTGAGTGTGGCGTCCTCATTGACAGTGTCAGGGGTGAATGATAGCCATGGGAGTTGGTGGCACATAGGTCTGTTGGGTGTAGGTTTAATAGCGGACAGGGTGGGAGTAGAGCCGTGGGTAAGGGAAATGCCTGTCTATGGCACACTTACCTCTGCATCCTGTACCCCCACACCCACCCTCTTCTGGTTTTGTTGTGGCACTCGGATGCCTTCCTCTGGCCATTCTGGATGTGGGCTGTGGTGGAGACATGCTCAGCATGGCCGTGTCCTGCATGGCTGATCCCTGACCTCCTGGTCTCCTCTTCCAAGATGCTAGGAGGTAGGGGTATTGTGAGCCAGGAAAACAGGTTTTGGAAGTTCCTGCATGGCTGTACCCGAGTGTGAGAGTGGTAGCTTCAGATAAAGGACTGCCCTTTGGGCTTGCAGTCTGGTGTGTGGATGACTTGAGTGCTCCACAGGAGTGGGAGAGACCCCTCATTAGAAGAAGCCCCTTGCTGGAAACACCTAGTCTGATGAGGGATGAGCCTCAGTTGTGTTACCTTTTCCTTGACACCAGACGGCTTGCTGGGGATGTTCCTGAAACGCCTCTCGTCCCAGCTCATCTTGCTGCAGGCGTGGACTTCCCACCTCTGGAAGATGTTTTACGACGCTCGAAAGCCCCGAAGTCAGATTAAGAATGAGATCAACATTGACACCCTAGCCAGAGATGAATTTAATCTCCAGAAGATGATGGTGATGGTGACAGCCTCGGGCAAGGTGAGAGGGTTTTAAGCCCTGGATACCGAACCTTCTGAGGTTCCATGAGTGAGAAGTAAAAAGTTTTTGGTGGGGGATAGCGCTGGTTCTAATTTCTAAGGATAGAATCAGTTCTTAGGTGTGTCTTTCTAGTAGTGAGCCAGTTATTTGTTTATCTTGCAGCTTTTTGGCATTGAGAGCAGCTCTGGCACCATCCTGTGGAAACAGTATCTCCCCAATGTCAAGTCAGACTCCTCCTTTAAACTGATGGTCCAGAGGACTACTGCCCATTTCCCCCACCCCCCACAGTGCACCCTCCTGGTAAAGGACAAGGTGAGGCTGTCCTCCTCGGATTTGAGCCAGAGTGGGTGTGGCTTTTTAGTGTTTTGTAAGTTGAATTTCGCCTGGGCCTTTGGAATTCTGGGAGGACTAGGGACAGGTGTTCAGGGGTTAGAGCTCTGTTTGTCTGAGTGGAGGAAGCATCCAGGACCGATGGGGGTTGACTCTGGAGGGGGTGTGATGTCACCAGACCTGGAACGAGCCAGCCCTCCTCCTTCCCAAATACAGGCCACTGTTACCAGCTGAGCGGCTACTTTCTCTTTAGACGAGGGAGAGCAGGACGCAGAGCTATTTATTTCTGCCTCCCAGAATTAGCTGGATTTTTGTGGATTCACTCTAATGCCATTAGAAAGGGGTACTTTCTCTCTCTCTCTCCCTCTCCCTCTGTCCCTCCCCCAGCTTGTGCTCTCTCGCTCGCTCACTCTCGAATAATAAAAATAAAATCTTTTTTAAAGAAAGGGTGGGGGGCGCTGGGTGGCTCAGTGAGTTAAGTGTCTGCCTTCGGCTCAGGTCATGGTCTCAGGGTCCTGGGATAGAGCCCCGCATCAGGCTCCCTGCTCAGCGGAGAGTCTGCTTCTCCCTCTCTCTCTCTGCCCCTCCCCCTGCTTGTGCTCTTTTGCTCTCTCTCTCTCTCAATTAATAAAAATAAAATCTTTAGGGCGCCTGGGTGGCTCAGTTGGTTAAGCGACTGCCTTCAGCTCAGGTCATGATCCTGGAGTCCCGGGATCGAGTCCCATATCGGGCTCCCTGCTCAGCGGGGAGTCTGCTTCTCCCTCTGACCCTCTTCCCTCTTGTGCTCTCTGTCTCTCCTTGTCTCTCTCTCAAATAAATAAATAAAATCTTTAAAAAATAAATAAAATCTTTAAAAAAAAGAAAGGGCACTTTCTAGGCTTGGTAGGCACCGCTGGAATGGCTGCTCAGGGTTAGTGAATCGGTACGTGACTGGTTTTTGTTTTTTTTTTTTAAATAATATTTTATTTATTTATTTGAAAGAGAGACAGCAAGAGTGAGAGAACACAAGCAGGGGGAATGGGAGAGGGAGAAGCAGGCTTCCCGCTGAGCAGGGAGCCCAATGCGGGGCTCCATCCCAGGACCCTGGGATCACGACCTGAGCCGAAGGCAGATGCTTAACGACTGAGCCACCCAGGTGCCCCGGTACTTGACCGTTTTGTTTGTTCCTCAGCGTGTCCGGTACTTGGGTAGCTTTGGAGCCACAGGGGCAATTTAACCGTTTCCCTTCTGACACGTTAGCCTCGGTTCACCTTCAGGCAAAACTATTTTGCGCAAATAGGGAATCCACACAGAGGGGTCCCGGGAGTCTGTCACGGTTGAGCTGAAGTCCCAGCTCTCCAGATTTACCCTTAGCACTTGCGTCCTTTCCCTGCTGCTGGAGTCTGACAGTTTGCTTGTCCGTGTCAGGAGACGGGAGTGAGTTCTCTGTATGTCTTCAATCCCATCTTTGGCAAGTGGAGTCAGGTGGTTCCCCCACTGCTGAAGCGGCCCATCTTGCAGTCTTTGCTTCTCCCCATCATGGATCAAGACTATGCCAAGGTGCTGCTGTTGATCGATGATGAGTATAAGGTATGAGACTTGAGAGTGGCTGGAGAGCACCTGGGGGGGTCGGGTGCGGGGAGGGTGGTCCCGCAGCAGCTCGTGGCCAGAGCTGGAGCTCTGCAGTCAGCACGTGTGTGGGCTTGAAGGGCATCATCCTGCAGCTGTGGAAACTCAGGCTCTTAGCAAAAGTAGATTTGAGCCCTATTTGGGTTCAGTGGACTTTAATTCTTTTAAGACTGACTTTTATTCTTAAGGCTTTTTGATGGCGAACGGTAATGAAGCTTGAGCAACTGTGCACAGAGCACCCTTTTCCTTTAACACTTTCCTCGGCCTTTCTGGGGTTTTCAAGGTCACGGCATTCCCAGCCACTCGGAATGTCTTGCGACAGCTACATGAGCTCGCCCCTTCCATCTTCTTCTATTTGGTGGATGCAGAACAGGGACGGCTATGTGGATATCGACTTCGAAAGGTAGGGAAGGCACCTCTTGGCAGGACCTTCCATGGGAGGGTTATAAGTGTTTTTTGACTATTTGGCTAAGAAGTGGATTATACTATTCATTCTGTTGTAAGTGTGGATCACTATAGTCCTGATGTCTGATTCGTAGTCCTTTTCGTATTGAGCAGCAACTACGTGGCAGGCAAGGTTCTACGTACTACGAAGAGAGTAGTGCCCAATAGAAGACATTTCTGCCCCATGGAGGGTTTTTTTTTTTAAAGTTTTATTTATTTCAGATCGAGGGAAAGAGAGCATGTGAGCGGTGGGAGGGGCAGAGGGAGAGGGAGGAGGAGAGAATCCTTAAGCAGACTCCTTGCTTAAGCTTGGAGCCCGACATGGGGCTCAATCCCAGGACCCTGAGATCATGACCTGAGCTGAAATCAGGAGCCAGCCGCTTAACCAACTGAGCCACCCAGGCACCGCCCCCATGGAGTTTTTATTCCATGTTCCTTTTCTATAGCAGAGAGAAGGATGTTGTTGTCCATTCTTGAGAGGGTGGGAGGTGGGAATGGGGATTGAGTAATGAGTTGTACTTTTTGTATGAAGATGACGTTATTGACCCATTCTTGACAGAATGAGTGCTTTGAATCTTATTTTTAGAAATGGGATTGATTTGCTCTAATGCTGATGTACTTGAGTCTAGCATTAGCAAATAGGGATAGACTCTGGCCCTGAGGGCCAGCTCTGAGGTTCACAGCGGGGCTGGCCTTCCTGCAGACAGGAGGGATTGTGGCGTGTACTCACCAGAGGCCCTGCATCCTGTCCCACAGGGCCTTTTGAGAGACAGTGCAGCATAGAGCTTAAGAGCTTGGACCCAGCTGCCTGAGTGTGAAGCCAAGCTCTATCACTTATTAACTTCGTGACCTTGGGCCCATGACTTCTCTGGCCCTTTGTTTTCTTTTTTTTTTGGCCCTCTGTTTTCTTGCCTATAAAATAAGATGATACCGTAAGGTTGTCGTGAAGAGTCAGGGAGTTAACATATATAAATCACACGAAGCAATGCCTGGCACATGGCAAATGCCATCTAAGTCTTAGCTGTTGTTGTCTTAAAGATGCAGTGTCCTTTCTTGATATTTTGTAACAGCTGACCTTTCCAGGAGCAGCATGGGAGGTAGTCTCCCCAGAAAACATGTTCTTTACCCTTGTGGGTGAAAAAAAATTGTCCTCTCAAGTTGAAAGAAGAGATGGCTCTTTGTGGATAGAGGGGAGCAAGCTCCCGGGTGTCATGATCAGTGGAGTCCTGAGGACATGGGAAGAAACAGTGGCCAAGGGAAGACAAAGGACACAAAGCTCCACATATACACAGTATGGATGGATAATAACATATTTAACCATGGGGCGCCTGGGTGGCTCTGTCCGTTAAATGTTCTACTCTTGGTTTTGGCTCAGGTCATGATCTCAGCGTCATGAGATTGAGCCCTGCATTGGGCTCCATGTTCAGTGTGTGGAGTCTGCTTGAGATTCTTTCTCCCTCTCCCTCTGCCCCTGCAGCTCATGTGTGCTCGCATGCTCTCTCTCTCTCAAATAAATAAATTTAAAAAGAAATAATGTATTTAACTATGAAACTTTGTGAATTGGTTTTCTTTGACTATAAAGAACATTTCATATAATGTTTCAAGGTCCCTGCCAGCTTAGTAATTTACTGCTGGCCTCAGATACAGGAATCATAGCTATTAGTAGTAAGTGGTAAACTTTCCTTGGATATTTCCTACTCAAATAAACAACGGGATACCACGGAACATTCCTCTCTTTTCTTACTAGCTCTAGTATCTTGCCTAATCAAACAGAGTTCTAAAACATCTGCACAAACTAGATCCTTTTTGCTCTTTTCCTAGGAGCTCTGATTTCTGTTTCTTTGGGCACAAAGCCCCAAATAAAGGAGTGTGGGATGTATCCGGCTACAGCTGTCACAGGTCTAAGTGTGCCCTCCAGATTATAAGTGCTGGCTCTCTTGCCCTGGCCCTAGGATCTTACCACTGAGCTGAGTTGGGAGCTGACTATTCCCCCAGAAGTGCAGCGCATCGTCAAGGTGAAGGGAAAGCGCAGCAGTGAGCACGTTCACTCCCAGGGCCGCGTGATGGGGGACCGCAGCGTGCTCTATAAGGTATGGTTCTTCAGTCTGGTGCCAAGCAGAAGGGCAAGGGTTTGGATTCGGGCTCTAGGATTTGGTAGCTACTTGATCTTGAGTGAGTCATTTCATTCCTTTGAGCCTTAATTTATTGTCTGTCAAATGAGTATAACGTGCCCTCCTCATGGGGTTGTTGTGATGATCATATGATGCTCACACGTAGCATAGTACCTGGCCTAAGGCTGCCACCCAGTAGATGTTAGCTCTTACTGTTAGTGATAGTGCTGATAGAACTTTCTGGGGTTAAGCCTTCGTTGATCCATTAGAAACTCCATCTCTGTGATCCAACACTGGTTAGTGGTGAAGGAGGGGGACAGAGAGGTGGCTAGTGGGCTGCAAGATGTTGGGAGAGAAGGCAGTCTTGTAGTGGTGCGTGGTCATTCGTGACCCCCTCTGCAGAGTGCGGGCTAAGTTGGAGGAGATGTGATGGAGCAGGGTAGCACGGCCAACGCAGCTGATGGGGAGGCTGCTTCACGGGGCGTGGGGCAGCACCGCAGGCTGCCGGCTGGCTGGACTGTCTGGGTACAGACCTGGTTCTGCCCCACACCAGCCATTCATCATGGGTCGTTTGTTGCAGGATTGCTTTGAAGATTAATGATAACAGGTAACTTGGTTAGAACAGTGCCATCTGCATAGTTAACATTATTAGTGCTCTTGATTTGAAATCTTTAGTGATGGATGCCTTCCATGCTGCAGTCAGTTTGACTTATTCAGAATGGCCAAAATAATACAAATTCTAAAGTACATCTGATTGTACCAGAAAAAGTATGTTCTTTATGTAATTTTACCTTTATGAGTTAAAATTTACTAAGAGTACTTGTGTTTTTCTATGTTGAAAAAAACAGAGTAGGGCTTTTTTGGATTTGTATTCATCACACACATTTTTTTTTTTTTAAAGATTTTATTCATTTATTTGAGAGAGAGAATGAGAGATAGAGAGCACGAGAGGGAAGAGGGTCAGAGGGAGAAGCAGACTCCCTGCTGAGCAGGGAGGCCGACGCGGGACTCGATCCTGGGACTCCAGGATCATGACCTGAGCCGAAGGCAGTCGCTTAACCAACTGAGTCACCCAGGCACCCCATCACACACATTTTTTAGTTTAGTTTTTTTTTTTCAATAAGCTTTGTTTTGGCCTAATTTTAGATTTACAGGAAAGCTGCAAAGATGGTACATTGAATTTGCATGTACGCGTTACCTGGTTTCCCCTGGTGGGGCTGTGGTATATCTGTCTGAACTAAGAAACCAGCATCAGTACAAGACTGTTAACTAAACTCCAGACTTTCTCAGGGTCTCACCAGTTTTCCCACTAAGGTCCCTTTCTGCCTCAGGCCCAGCCCCGGGCCCCACACTTCACGGACATGCCATGTTTCTCTAAGTCTCCTCTGTCCTGTTTAGTCTTTCGTGACCTTGATAGATTTGAAGGGTACTAGACAGGTGTTTTGTAGACAATTTTGGTTTGTCTGATGTTTTTCTCATGGTTAGACTGTGGTTGCAGGTTTAGAAGGAATACCACAGAGGGGAAGCTGTACTTTTTTTGGTGGGGGGAGGTTGCTAGCAGGATGTCAGGCACTCTTTTAGAGTCTGGGATACATCAGCGAACAAAATAGACAAAATTGAGGCTGTTACTATATTCAGGAGATGCCAAAAACAAAATAAATAGATAAATGTATAGCATATCAAAGGGTGACTAGTTCTATAGAAGAACAAAACCGAGAAGAGGGGAGGGGAAGCCGGGATTGGAAGGGGTGCAATTTAAAATAGGTTAAGGAGGGTCTCACTGAGATAGTGACACCTCAGGAAGATGGAAGGATAGTGCGTGACATCAGGGGAAGAGCTTTCTGGACAGGAAGGCTGGAGTGGACCTGGAGTGTTCCAGAAACAGCAAGGGGGGACAGTATGACTAGAGTGGGGTGAGCGGGGAGAGTCCAGGTTGCTGAGGTCGGAGCGTGGTGGGACGTATCACGGCCACCACTCTGGCCTTGATGTTGAGTGAGCTAGAGTGCCAGTGGGAAGTTGGGAGCATGGGGAGGCCTACGGGGAGCAGGCTTTAGGCAGAGGCAGGACAGCATTCCCTTTGGGATATATCAGGTTTGAGGTGGGACATTTAAGAGATACTGAGATGGCAGCCTGTTAGAGCCTGGAGTTCAGGGAGGGTATAGTGTGGGTATGTAACCTTGGCCACTGCCAGCACCCGTGGTTGGTGTGTGACCACAAGAGCGAGTGTAGACAATGTCCAGGAGACTGGGGAGATGAGGAGCCTGCAGAATAGACTGAGGAGGAGGGGCCAGTGGGGTGGAGGAAAAGTGGGGGCCATGTGTCCTAAATGCCAGGTGGAGAAAGTGGTGTTTTTTTTTTATTTTTTTATTTATTTTTTATTTTTTTATTTTTTAAGATTTTATTTATTTATTTGAGAGAGAGAGAATGAGAGATAGCACGAGTGGGAAGAGGGTCAGAGGGAGAAGCAGACTCCCCGCTGAGCAGGGAGCCCAATGCGGGACTCGATCCCAGGACTCCAGGATCATGACCTGAGCCGAAGGCAGTCGCTTAACCAACTGAGCCACCCAGGCGCCCGAAAGTGGTGTTTTTTTTTAAAGATTTTATTTATTTATTAGAGAGTGAGCACAAGCAGGGGGAATGGCAGGGAGAGGGAGAAACAGGCTCCCCGCTGAGCAGGGAGCCTGATGCCGGGCTCAGTCCCAGGACCCTGGGATCATGACCTGAGCCTAAGGCAGACGCTTAACCCAGTGAGCCACCCAGGCGCCCCGAGAAAGTGTTTTGAGGAGGGGCCATCACCTGTGTCGCCTTGTACTAGCAGGTCAGGTGAGATGAGGACTGAGACTCGTCTGTTGGTTTAGGGGTGGGGCGGGTACCAGTGCAGAGAACCCGCATTGCCGGAGCAGTGGCTTAGCTCAGTGAGTGGGCGGGTTGGATTGTATCTTGAGTTAACCATTTGCTGCGTCTGTGGCGTGAGCAAGTTGCTTTGCGACCTGCAGCCTTTCCTCACCTACCGCCTGTGGATGACCAAAGCTCCGTTGTGAGGTTATTTGTGGGAGTCTGTGAGGTGAGGTGGGCAGGGCACCGGGCCTGGCACGTGGCACCCGGGGGACTCTAACCAAGGGCGGTGATGACGAGCTCCGAGGACAAGCTCTTCTAGCCAGGAAGCCCGATTCCTCCGCCGGGCCAGCGGGCTCCAGGTCTGCCTCTCTGCCCAGGGCTCACAGCACAGCAGAGCTCGTGATTGGCCGTCGTGGTGCTGAAGGCGCTCTTCTCTCCTTCTCCCAGAGCTTGAACCCCAACCTGCTGGCCGTGGTGACAGAGAGCACAGACGTACACCATGAACGCACCTTCATTGGCATCTTCCTCGTCGATGGCGTCACCGGGCGCATCATCCACTCCTCCGTGCAGAGGAAAGCCAAGGGCCCCGTCCACATTGTACACTCAGAGAACTGGGTGGTGGTAAGAGTGGCAGATGTGCGATGTCAGTCCCAGGTTCACGACCCAGCCAAGACCTGTGTCTCAAATCCCTTCCTTGCCTCTTGTTCCAGAAACCAGGGGCCTCTTTCTGTTTCTGTAGGATCCAAACCCCTGGATGGCAGTTGAGGTGCTGGTTAGGGGGCTTGGCTCAGGAATTAGACCGCCTCAGGCTCGCGGCAGCCCTTCCCTTTCCCCACTGTGCGACCTTGAAGTGGTTATTGAGCTCTCTGTGTTGCATCACTCGTGAAGGAGGGTTAGGAGAGTGTCCTCTGGTCTGGGTTGGAACAACCCACGTGATAAGCACTCAGACCCTTGCTATTGTTTTGTTTTGTTTTGTTTTTTAAGATTTTATTTATTTGAGAGAGAGAGAATGAGAGATAGAGAGCACGAGAGGGAAGAGGGTCAGAGGGTCAGAGGGAGAAGCAGACTCCCCACCGAGCAGGGAGCCCGATGCGGGACTCGATCCCTGGACTCCAGGATCACGACCTGAGCCGAAGGCAGTCGCTTAACCAACTGAACCACCCAGGCGCCCGACCCTTGGTCTTGTTATTCTGACTTCTGAGTATCTTGAGAACTCCTTTGTCTTATGGTGAACTTCGGGTAAAGCTAGTTAAAACTACCCTGAAAGTTAGTAAACTTGGTAGCAAGGAAGAAAACTGTGGTGCTGGGTGGTTTTCTTTCCTTCCTGGACGTGTAGCTCATGCATGGAAAGAAAGGTGCCTTCCCGCATCATACCCCTTTCCAGCCCAAGTGGCAGCTAAGTCCTCAGCTGCCGCCCCTCTCTGCAGTACCAGTACTGGAACACCAAGGCCCGGCGCAACGAGTTTACCGCGCTGGAGCTCTACGAGGGCACCGAGCAATACAACGCCACCGCCTTCAGCTCCCTGGACCGCCCCCAGCTGCCCCAGGTCCTCCAGCAGTCCTACATCTTCCCCTCCTCCATCAGTGCCATGGAAGCCACCATCACTGAGCGGGGCATCACCAGTCGGCACCTGCTTAGTAAGTGACCAGGAGAGGGTCTCTGGGGTGACAATCTCCGTAGGGTGCCACACTGAAGGACACAGCTGGAGGTGCATCGCTGGCACAATCCTGTTTTGACCACTAGGGGAGGCTAGTGAGGAAGGCTTAATTTCAGCAGGAAAAGATCCTTAGTCCAGCTTTGCCGCCTATAAGAGATAGACCTGACTCTTATTTCTTCCCTTTTTGTTTGTTTGTTTGGGAGAGAGTGCATGTGCGCAACATGGGGGGCGGTGGGGAGAGGGGCAAAGGGAGAGGGAGAGAGAATCTTAAGCAGCCTCCCCGCTGAGCAGAGCTGCACATGGGCTCGATCCCATGACCCGGCTTGTTTCTCTGCAGTTGGGCTGCCTTCCGGAGCAATTCTTTCCCTTCCTAAGGCCTTGTTGGATCCCCGCCGTCCCGAGATCCCAACAGAACAAAGCAGGTGAGACACTTGCAGGTGGTACTGAAGGCTCTGACCCTAAGGAATGTGACCTGTTGATGAAGTTTGGTCCTCAGCCTGCTGTGTGCTGTCTTGCTGTGCTGGGGGCTGGGGCCAGGGCTGGGAACAAGTCTGATGAAAACCTCTCCCTTCATGGAGCTTAACATGCTGTTGGGGGGATGAGGTGGATGCCACATAAGATAAGCAAGAGAAATGATACCACGTTAGGTATTTGTAAGTGCTACAGAGAAAAAATTAAGAAGGGCCCGGGGCTCTGGAGGGGTGGGAGGGTATGAGGGGGTGTAACTTGAGAGGGTGGCCTGGGGACGCCTCTCTGGGAAGGTGACTGTGGAGTGAAGACTTGGAGGTGATCAGAAGCCAGCCTATGGCTGTCTGGGGGAGGACTTCCCAGGCAGGGGAGAGTCGTGCCCGTGCCCTGAGACCATGGCTGGCGAGCCAGAGGCAGGGAGGAGGCCACACTGGCTGCAGCAGCTGGTGGGCGTGGGGGGATGTGAGGAAGTGAGGGCGCTAATGGGGCTGGGTCATGTGGGGAAGCCAATAGCTTGTCACAGTTAGCATTCAGTTTTGTATTGCCAGCCGTCATTTGCATATTTTCTCACCTCCATCCCGAATTACGTTCACTTAGGGGTGTGGGGAACTGAGCAGTGTGGGGAGAGAGCAGATCTGTGTTTGCACAGGAGGTTTCGGGGGAGTGTGGTTTGGAGAGCAGGGTGGCTGAAGCTGGGAGCACGTGGGGTGAGCCCAGGGTTTTCTGAGGAGTGTGGACTGAGGTACTCTGAGCCAAGAGCGGGAATTGGCCTAGTGGCTCCACGTGCGGGTTTTAGAATGGCCCTGACTTCCACCTCTAGTGTGAAATACTGGCTATCATTAGATTTAGAACAGGGTAGGAATCCAGATCTACCCTCTACACAGGTTTCTTTCTTGTAGCCCTTGCTAACATTCAGCTGCTAAATTTTTACCTGATACAAGTAGACCTTGAAGGAAAATTTGAGGCTAGATATGTGGCCTGGAAAGCTCCCAGGACTCAGAAAGGGCAGCCAAGAGATCCCCTTGCCGCAATTTGGAATGCTGGTCCTGGCTGGTGTTTTGCAGGGAGGAGAACCTGATCCCGTATTCCCCAGATGTGCAGATACACGCAGAGCGATTCATTAACTACAACCAGACGGTTTCTCGAATGCGAGGTATCTACACAGCTCCCTCAGGCCTGGAGTCCACTTGTTTGGTGAGTAGAGCCCCCAGCCAGCATGTGCAGCAGCTTCTCTTGGGTTCACGCTTGGGAAGCAGCTGAGGGTTCCGTTTCCTTTCTGACCAGAGTGTGAGATCGCGGTGGACCACCGGCTACCTCTCTTACGTACTTCTCGTTGCCTCTGCCTTCCAGGTTGTGGCCTATGGTTTGGACATTTACCAAACTCGAGTCTACCCATCCAAGCAGTTTGACGTCCTGAAGGATGACTATGACTATGTGCTCATCAGCAGTGTCCTCTTTGGCCTGGTGTTTGCCACCATGATAACCAAGAGACTGGCGCAGGTGAAGCTCCTGAATCGGGCCTGGCGGTAAGGATGCAGGACCCCACTGCCGGAGAGCGGAGAGCTTGGGGCAGCGAGGGCCGGACGGGGAGCTCCAGCTGCGGTGGGACGGGTCAGGCGAGGACGGGTGTCGGGTGTTCATCTCAGCTGAGTCGTGGGAAGAAGCTGGACTTTCGCGGAGCCTCCTCGGGACAGGTCTGCCGCAGCGTCGGTTGCGGAAGGAGGCTGGACTCTCCGCCGGGAATCTCAAAGCATCTCGATGGACTTGCCCTCAAAGTCTGAAGGCCGTCGCCCTGTTTGCTTCCTTTGCCCATCCGTGAATGTTGTTGTTTCTTTACTAAGTCCCCTGGCAGATTTTTCTCTTTTGTGAGGCCTGCTTCAGTTGATTTTGGTTCGCCTTTTGTGTTTCCCAGGCTTATCCAGAAATCCTTCTGTTTCCCTGCCTCATGTTTCAAAGTCAGGAGGGAACTCTTATTGATAACTCCACCTCATAGGTGCTTTTGCTCTTTTACGTCTGGGAGAAAGAAGATACATGCTTAGTTGAGGCTTAAAGACGGATCCAGCCTCTCATGGATTCTCTCCAAAGAGTTGAGGAATCTGTATATGGCATCAAAATTTACTTTAAGCCTCTAGTTTGGAGGCTCTCATTCATCAGGTGGGGCCACCCAGTTCTTGCTGCAGTTTATCACAAGTCAGGCACGTCATAGTTTTCTGGTTTGTCAGTCATTGCCCACGCTTTGCACCTAAGGTGTGTCCGAGCCAGGGCCGCCTTAATACTACTGAATTGCCTGAACCTGCAAGAGATTTTAAGGGAGGAGAGACTCTACCCGTTTCACGGTACCTCCTAACCTCTCAGTTCACCCTCAGGCTGGTCTAGTCCTCTTCTGGCCTAGTTAGAGCCAGTCGTCTTGTTTAAGAACCTCATTATTTATTTTTTACTTTTAGATGTAAATTCATGAGTGCATCACATTTCTACTAAAGAGAGATTTTAAATGTTAATGCTGTAACCTTCGCAACTTTAAAAGAGGGGAGGGCTGGATGGGGGTAGGAAACTGACATGTTGTGGATGAAGCATTGCCAAGTGGCTGGGCTGTTGTCTCTGTGACAAATGGAAAAAGTCCTAAAAGTTTCCTCTGTGCCCAGATCTGGGGAATGATGGCGTTTTTCTTTCCCGTGAAGGATGAAATGTGCAGAGGAGACCATCTCTAGCCTTGTGGGGAGAGCGGTTCGATCAGGTGTCTGAATAAAGCAGATGACGAATGTTACGAATGGCAGTCCTTTTTTGTGGTGTGGGACTTGGAGGTGACTTCTGCATGAGAGGGGGCCGAAAGCCGTGCAGACACACAGTTTATTTTAATAGGAAAACATGCCAATTTAATCATACAAGAGTTGTGTTGTTACTATTTTTAAGATTTTATTTAAGGGGGGAGGGGCAGAGGGAGAGGGACAAGCAGAAACCCTGTGGAGCAGGGAGCCCGACACGGGGCTCGATCCCAGGACCCTGAGATCATGATGTGAGCCGAAGTCAGACGCTTAACTGACGGAGCCACCCAGGCGCCCCGAGTTGAGTTATTTAAAAACAAAACTTTGAAATCTTTTATGCTGCTGGTAGATGATGCGAGTGGAAGGAAGAAAATGAGAGTCATTTTATTTGAGTAATAAAGTTGTGAAGTTGATCTTAATGAGTCAGTGAGCATCTACGTATCTCCAGAAAAAACAGGCATCGATTCATCCTGACTCAAAGCATGGTTGGTTTAAAGTGTCCTGAGAGAAGGGAACATGTACAAGTTAAAAAAGATTCTGCCCCAGTTTTGAGGAAGCCTGGCTGGAGTCTCGACTGTCCTATAAGAAGTACGCTCAAGCAGCACAGCCCCCCAGTCTGCTAGATGCTAGTTTTTATTTACCTGTGTATGTGCCAGAATCCGAAAGAACAAGCTAAGTGGAGGGAAGTTACCTGCCTTTTTGTAAAAGGCCCCGTATTTTGGCTTTAATCATTACCATTTTACTGAAAGTTCTCTCAAAGCGGGTGCTTGAAAGAGCCAATGCTAACGGCAGCCGTGGTCCTGTGTCTGCCTTGTCATTTCTCCACCTCTCCTCGTCTTAAAGCCACACTTGGTTGACTAGCTTCGCTCAGCCTCTACCTGTGGCTTTTGACCCCGTTGCCCGCCAGTGCGCTGATCTGTTTTCCTGTCTTCCTCTATTTCTGTGCATCTCCCTTGAACCATCTGTTTCCCCCACCTTCATTAATTAGGTTCACTGGGAGCCTCCTGCAATGTTTCAGCTAAAAAATTAAGTTCTTCAGTATTTTTTATGTCATCTTCTTTATTGGTTGGTCAGTATTCAAGATCTTTCGGTGTAAAAATTTTCAGCTAAATAATATTTAGTGATTCTCAGTCCCTGCTGGGAATAATGTAAAATGGTTTGTGGCTTTTGTTATAGTTTTCCCCTAGCCTTTGACTCTGCAGTGAGTTATTGGGGAACGTGTATGTATTAAATACAGAATTAGTTAGAACGTTCATGGTCAGTAAGACCCTTTTTAAAAATTTTTGATAGATGAGGGGTACCTGGCTGACTCAGTTGGAAGAGCATGCGACTCTTGATCTTGGGGTTGTGAGTTCAAGCCCCACGGTGGGTGTAAAGGTTACTTAAATAAAACTTAAAAAAAAAATTAAAAAAAATTTTTTTGATAGATTACATTACTCTTTTGGAAGGGGGTTAAATAGTCATGTGTTATGCCCCACCCTCCTTCCTCTTAAAATTGTAACTTAGTGATTTAATACCACTTTGGGAAGAGATTACCACCTGTTCCCCTCCCCTCCTCCCCCCCCAACAAAGAAAGGTGAGTAACCTAACATTGCAGATAACATGGTTTTACTGTCATAAACTGTGGGTGGCTCTAAGAGACAACTGACCCTGCCAATTTAATAGCAGAACAAGTTAGAGGTAAATTTTCCTGAAACCCACATAATGTTTGTTACCAGTCCTCTACAATTTACTTTGCTTACAGTCCACAATTCTGAATTGTGAGTTCACTCCTTTGCCGTTTTTCTGGGGAGTACAAGGCCTAATTCTGGGAGCCGTGGAGCACCTGTAAAACTGACAGGCATCCCTGTGGCCATCTGTTTAGCCATAAATCCTGGTCCGACTCTCTCATTTTCATTCGAGGATGTTCCTTCTCTCACCAGCTTCAATGATTGCTCAACTAGGTGGCCCCTTGCTTATCTGGCCCCACAGGATAGCTGTGCTATTCGGCATCTCACCCGGTCCCAAAAAGCACTGGGCACAGCTGACACAAGGCAAATGATGGACCGTAAGATACAAAGAAAACTAACTGGGTGAAAGGACAGCAACGAGGAGAGTAACCAACACCTCAGGAGATGGGTTGAGGCAGATTGGCGGTGGGCACCCCCATATATATATAATCATCTTCAAGCTACTTTGAACTCGATCCCTAGATTAAGCCAGGCCAGCAGAGAACTAGCTGTGCATCTAGGCTGAATTTGGGGGTCATATTTTGTCATAGCCCATCCTCAGAAATGGATTTTACAACTTGTATTGAGTCTAAGAGATGTTGCTAAGGGGACTGTTGATCATATTACTTACAGGGCCAATGAGAAATTCCTCTCTGGTCGCAGCATCAGGAATAGTTGTCAGGATCCTAAGTCACTTAAAAAAGTCTCTGTTCCTTGATTTTAAATAGAACAGGCTTATTATAGAAAGAGTTAAAATACAAAAATTACTGCGGCCTAGTACCGACATTACTCATATGGGCACTGATAGCCTGAGTTTAGTGTTCTTGTGTACAAACTCTTTAATGGCATCATGCTATTTGTTTTTTTTTTTTTTTTCAACCTAATGCATTTTGAACATCATGTATTCAAAAGGATGCCTTAAATCCTTTCTGGAACAAAGTATGACAGAAAAAAATACTCAGTTCCTGAAGTATGTGTTTGAGACATTTATTTATTGAAAGATTTTTTTTGTCAGAGAGAGAGAGCAAGCGCACAAGCAGGGGGAGGGGCAGGCAGAGGGAGAAGCAGGCTGAGCAAGGAGCCCGATGCGGGACTGGGATCATAACCTGAGCCAAAGGCAGGCCCTTGAACTGACTGAGCCACCCAGGCGTCCCATGTTTGAGCCTTTAACGCAAGTCACTTCAACTCTCTGAATGCGTTTCATTGCTTGTGTAGGGGGACAGGTTCACCATCTGTACGGTGTCCGTAACTCAAAAATTTCAGATTTTTTAATTTCACTGCCCTTATAAATTGCTATTCTTTGTCGGAGCCCAGGACATAAGCTACAATGATCAGAATCATCCCAAGACTGACTGACTGATTTCTGCTCATTTAACATTTTAAGTCCTGAATCTCTTCTTTTTCTATAGGCTTTATTTGGAATGCTTTCTTCTCCAGATCTGGAGTGTTTCATGTCTAAACTCCAGAAAGCCTCCTCTGTGGATCCTGGCTGCCCAGGACGCCTGAGTTGCCTGGCTGCTAACCACACAGTTGCCCCCACAGAGGCACCCTCGCATTTTATTGTTTCGGTCCTTCTGTGTCTCTCAGAGGTCGTTAAACTGTCTTCTCAACTACCCACAATCTTGAGCATGAAGCTGCTCCCCGACAAGTAGCTCCCCAAGTGGGTACAACACCTCTTCGTAGAGGAAGCCTTAGGACATTTGTCCCTAGTTAAAATTTCTACAGTGCCTTTGGTGACATAGGAATTGTATTTACTGAAATGCCAAGAGATAGACCTACTCATCTTTTTCTGGAGGGCCCTGGAACAAGCTCCAACAAACCCTATCTAATACCTAAAACAAATGCTTACAAGATCAATACGGGAAATGAGCTTTATGATACCATAAATTCTATCTTAAAGGGAAAAGTATCGGGGCGCCTGGGTGGCTCGGTCGGTTAAGCGTCTGATTCTTGGTTTCAGCTCAGGTCATGATCTTGGGGTCCTGGGATTGAGCCCTGCATTGGGCTCTGCACTTAGCAGAGTCTGCTTGTCCCTCTCCCTCTGTCCCTCCCCCTGCTCACTCTCTCAAATTTAAAAAAAAATTAAGAAGGGAAAAGTATCTTTTTGTTATATTGGTATGTACTTACAGAAACAAAATAAAGTGATTACAAAGGCTCAAAGTCCAAATAGGCTTTGGAAAACACTATTTTTTTTTTAAAGATTTATTTATTTATTTGACAGACACAGCAAGAGAGGGAACACGAGCAGGAGGAGT